GGCAAAGGCAAACAGGAGTGTGTCTGATCAATATTTATTAATACTTTCAAAGACAAGGGAGGCAAAGTTGAGCAGACTTCGTAATGGAGTGAATAATTACTCATGCAAATAGGGTTTGGCCGAAGGCAATGCCATGCCAAAGCGGCAGGTTTTTAATTGCACCCAATTAAAAATGCATACCTTTCGCTCACTCGTACTGTCTCGCTTGCTCTCTTTTTTTATTATTTTGTAGGAAATTTTTAATTAAAAAATAATCTGATCCTGAAAAGAGCGACAGATGAATCCTGTGTTTATTAGGTGCAGAATTCTTCAGTAATCCAAGAGTTGGGACAGGCTAAAAAGGAAGGCAGCTGTAAGGACGTGGGGTGAAGATGGGTTTGCATTGCTGAGCTTGTCCGGTGATCGGTCTGGGCTGCAGACGAACAGCTTCAGTTCTTGCTCCTTCTTCTTTTAAGGTGCTCTGTCACCTTGGGAAGGCCGTGACTCCTGCGCTTTGGAGCAAAGACTTGTCGTCTCTCAGAGAGATCGCCCAATCCAAGATACGCTCTCTGTCATTTTGTTGAAAACCCAGCCAGAATTGGCAAAGGTAAAAATCGCATTTCACATCTGCTCAGCGTAAATTCCCTGAAGGCGATCAAAGTTTCCTAAATCTAAGTGTTTACCTTGGCAACCTTACTGGTTTTTTTTCTACGCATTGTGTGTATAACTGTACTTGAGATATTGCCAATACTCTCAAAGTTAACCTTATATTAGATTTCTGACTGTATATTGAAGCATCTTGATAAATACCCAAATTTTGTAAAACATTATGGCTAACAGCAGCTGCTGGGCACTCAACGCATGAGCCGGAAGGATGCTATAGAGCCAACTGGTAGATAGTAACGATTCAAATTTGGGATCTTAGTTTCTGCAAGATCCCAGATACAACTATTTCATTATGCCAAGTCCACGCATAAGCGTTACAGGACTAATTACAGCTAAAGAGGGGAGCTGAAATGAAAACTCATCCTTCGACCGCTGACCCACAGGGCTTTATCAGTCCCTGCCTGTAACTAGGTGTCCCTTTAACTGCTCTAGCTGAAGAAGGAGCTGTGATTTTCTGGCTGGGAGAGGGTTGACAGTAGTGCCAGTGTCATCAAGGAGGATGAGTCTGAGCCTCCGCTGTTCCCCTGTCACCGGCCACTGCATCGCCACTTCTGGAACGGCATGAAATCTGCTATTTTGAGGGTTTTATGTGTCTACCTGCAAGAGGAGACAAGATTTAAAGAATATCCATCAGCATGGCGGGAGATGGATTGGAACACAGGACTTGCCATGATGTGCTCCTGAGCCAAGTCTTGTTTTTCCGTAGAGAAGTTCTCAGGGAGTTTTCCATGCATGTCTCAGGAGAGTGCTGGGACTTTGTCCTTGTGCCGGGATTACAGTGTTAGCATCGTTAGCAATCAAACTGGTAAATCTATTCCCATGATTGGAGATGAGGTTTGGTTTAGTCTCCCCCTCCCTGAATCCAGTACTGAGAAATATCTTCCCAAGGTTTTGTGGCTTTGACTATTGATGTTTTATCAGAAGCTGAGATGCGATGCTGTGGCTCTCCAGGGGACCAGATCAGCCTTGCAGCATGCTGCTTGTCTGAGCCATGAAGGTATTTTCAATCCCTGTGTCAAACACTGGCCTCGCTCAGCGTCACAGTCTGAGCGAACAAGAGATGTAAACGTTGAGGGGAGTATAGCAGTAAATCGTATCGTATCGTGTCATGCGGTGGTACGGTGGCTTCTGGGGGGACCACCGATTGTGCTGTTGGGTTCTCCATCATAGGCACGGAAACTGAAATCAGTAGCTGACACAGAGTGACTCGGCGTTACCCAAACCGGATGAGTTTGTAGCTTGTAGGGATTACCCAAATGCTTTCTGCAAATAGCAGATACAGGGATGTGCAAGGTGTCCCCCATCCTCACCTATCCATCTGCCTGTTGAGCTGCACAAACAGCCTCTTTTATCATTTATTGATGATCCCAGGGCTGGAGCACCTCTGCTATGGAGACAGGCTGAGAGAGTTGGGGTTGTTCAGCCCGGAGAAGAGAAGGCTCTGGGGAGACCTTAGAGCCCCTTCCAGTCCCTGAAGGGGCTACAGGAAAGCTGGAGAGGGGCTGGTGACAAGGGCAGGGAGTGACAGGCCAAGGGGAATGGCCTGAAGCTGCAGGAGGGGAGATGGAGATGAGATCTGAGGCAGAAATCCTTCCCTGTGAGGGTGCTGAGGCCCTGGCAGAGGTTGCCCAGAGAAGCTGTGGCTGCCCCTGGCTCCCTGGCAGTGTTCAAGGCCAGGTTGGATGGGGCTTTGGGCAACCTGGGCTAGTGGAGGGTGTCCCTGCCCATGGCAGGGGGTTGGAACTAGATGGGCTTTGAGGTCCCTTCCAACCCAAACCAGTCTGTGAGTCCATGATTCTATGATCCTGTAGTAAGTCAGGGGCATTTGGGGTTCCCTCAGACAAAAGTGCTACCAAGCAGCTGTTACGAAAGCTGTTCTCAAGCAGCTTGCATGGTTTCCCTTTCTTTTCTAAGGGAAATGTTCTCATTTAGACAGTTCTCTGCCCCATTTACCCCCTGCTTCTAAGGGAACAACATGTCCTTGCAGCAGAGCCCACCTCAAAGTCCCCTTGGGCAGTCCATGATGCTGGTGAACCAGTCCTCCATCGGCTCCAGGAGTTTCATAGTCTGTAGCTCAGATGTGTGGAGCCTAACAGCGTGATTGTTTTTTGAGCTTATCATTCATCCCCAGAAGGTATTTTTTTATTTCTGTCTTGTGCCTTCTACACATATCCTGTCAGTCCTTGTTCTCTGAACTGACGATTTTGGACTCCTCTTCCTCCGGCCCTTCCTCCCACCTGATCCCAGCTGGCCCCTGACACCAGTTATGTTGGTGCAGACTTTCAACCACAGGAGCAAATTCTCAGGTCACGACAGGAGGCGATGTCTTGAAGAAGCAGAGGAGATAAAAACCGCAGAACTCCAAAGCCCAGTAGCCTGGTCACGCTAGCAGAGGCAAAACCTGGGATGCTCCAGGCGTGTGGTTTTGCTATAGCTGGTTACAGTCATTGCTGCCGTGATTTGCAGTCTGGCGGCACGCTGGATGCTCTCCAAAGGCACAGCTAAGCCAGACCTGAGAGCCTGCAAAGTACAGAACAAGAGAAATTTAATATGCAGCTTTGCCATGTTTGCCCTGATTGCTATTTTAATGCATTCAAAGAGGAAAGAAAGGGAGAGAGGTGATAACTTTTCCCAGAGCCCCTGCTCTTGGGTTTTAAATAATTTATTCCACCAAGACCTAAGGTTTAGACTGCAGCCTGCCCTTGTCCTCCTGCAGAAGCGTGGAGGACTCATGCAGGGACCTTCCCTTTGGCTGCTTTCTGCCTTGCTTTGCTCTTCAGCCAAAGAAGTGCTGGGTGTTTGGCTGAAACAAGTCCTCGCTGCCACATGATGCATGCAGACAGGGATCTTTTCACTTCTCCTTCCCTGAGTTTTCAGGGAAGCTTGTTTCTTTACAAGGGTATCTAACACCTGTATGAAGCTATAAAGTTAACCAATTCCTCTAAAAAGAGGTACTTTCCATCCATGCACCACTTTTTTTGGTTTTGATCCCCCAAACAGACCTAAACCTTCAGCCAAGGTTCATCGCTTAATGGAACCTTCCCCTTATTCCTGACCTGGAGCGGTTTGCCCAGGATTGGGAACCCCTCTGCATAAAGCAGCTTTGTAAAGCCTTATATTTTCACAGCTCCCTCCAGACAGGATGCTTTGTCTTGGTGATATCTAGACCACAGGCTCCTGACCCCAGATCTTACCCCTTGGTACGGATGGGGAAACTGAGGCACGGAAGGCAGCTGTGTGAATGGGAATGGCCGTGCCAGGAATTCACAAAAGTGCTGTATAAAGGGGACCAGAGCTCCGATTCCCCTTCTGCTGCGGAAGGCAGTGCTTTCCAAGGGTCACGCGCTCTCCTCCCGGTTTCAAACCTTAATCAGTTTGTGCTATAAAGGAAGGAGGGAAAGAAAAAGTCTCAAAGGACCCCAGCAGCTCTCACTAGTTTTATCTCTTCCACCTGGGCTGTGGAGTCCGAGCAAATAATCCGGTCCCGCACCCAGTCCCAGCCCATATTTTCTGCAGTGCTTGGATTGGCAGCTGTCAGAATTGCCCCACTGCTTCCCTGGCCCGTGACACGTTTTCCCTTCCAGTAAGTACTTGCTTAAATTCTCTTCCTTGGAAATCCATTCTTTCACTAATGCCACTTTACTTTAATTTAAACCAGCCTCCACTGCAGCCCCTGTATTATGCCTTCTCTTCACATGATCTTTTATTTATTAAAAAAAAGCACCTCGGCTCCTGGCTCAAATTTTATTTTGCATTATTTAATATTTTTCCTCTCAAACTCTGTGTCTCAGTAGCATTGGAGGTCTCTGGAGTTTTGGGCTTGAAGTTCCATATTAGCATCTCTCTGCAAGAGGGCTTCATTAGGGACAAAAAACCTCCACTTCCCCTACCCCTGTGATTCTTTTCCTTTCCAGAAGACTCCTGTTCTTGCAGGCTGAGTGACTAGATACACATCTGTACATCACCACGTATATATATATCTATATGCATCTGTATCTATCTACTTTCTACATGCTGGATACCAAACAGTGACGTCTCGGCTGATGGTAACTACTGGGAAAGAGGAGCCCTTGGTTCTCCATAGTTTGTGTTTTAGCTTGAGTATGGAAGAGTGTGGGGAGCAGATCGGTGAGATTCGCTCCCCTGTGCATCTCCCTGCCCACTTGGCATCTCCTGATGTTCAATAGGAAGATGTTTGTGCTCTCTTTGTACAGCACCTGACGCAGCTTTCTCCGCTCATGGCACTGCTGAATAAAAGTAACAGTTGATGGTATTCTACAGAAAAAAAGGTCTGGAGCATAGAGTATCACTATTCACCAGAGTGGTTTGGTTTTTTTCATTTGCTTGCTTTTCAGGCAGTATTATGAGATGCTCTACAACACAGCAGACGAGCTTTTAAACCTGGTGGTGGATCAAGGGGTGAAGTACACAGAGCTGGAATACATCTATGCCCTGAACTTACTGCACCGGAGCCAGACGGGTGTGGGAGACCAAACCACCCAGAACATGAGGTTGCAGCGGTTGAAGGAGATCATCTGTGAGCAGGCTGCTATCAAACAGGCCACCAAGGACAAGAAAATCACCACCGTGTAATTTGCTCTGGCGCTCACGGTAACTGAGCAGCAGGGGCTGTCAGGTTGCAGGTCCAAGCCTCTGCGTTTATGTTATAATCCAAGGCAAAAGCGCGTCTCTTCTGGGTGGCATTGTACTACCGAGAAGCCATTTGAGATTTGGCTTTGGGGTTGTTTTGGGGGTTTTGATGTGTAATCACCTAATGCTTCCTTAATGCGTTGTCCCAAGAGTGATTGCACAGCAGGAACAGGCATCTTGGCGGAGGTTTGGGTGGGATATTTGGCTTTGCTCTGTTGCTGCTGCTTCGCCTTGAGATGCAAGGCAAGCTGCTAGCTGGCGGGGTGGGAAAAGAGAATATTTCACACTGGGTTAGGTCAGAGTCTTCAGTGGAAATTCAGACCACACTAAAATAAACAGCACCATGACAGTCAAGCGCAGACCTGTTGGTCACATGTGGGATCTTGATGGTTTTGAAGCCATTCCACCAGCGTTGCTGCATGGAGCCTGTTTAAGCTCTGCCAGTACTATTTTCGATGACAGTTGTAGATGCATTAAGTTTTCTGCTGTTTCCACTGCAAAGAGGTCTAGTTGCTTATTCCTTCGGATAGTGATAAGCCAGTTCTCGTAGTGGGAGGTAACTTGGGACCATTTGTTTCCACTTCTACTTTTTCATTATCACAGAGCCATATGGCATCGGTTTCTACAGCGCATACTGCACTGGGTGATGGTGGATATAAGAGAAAATTGCCAATAAAAGGTAATAGCAAAACTTAATTCTCTTTTTTCTGAATATATCTTTTGAGTCTCCTCAGCTCAAAAGATATTTTGTAATCGGCATTTGATGTACTGGAAGGACACGCAGGCTTTTGTAGCTCAGCAGTGATGGATCAGCAACGGCAGGAGGAGGGCAGGTCCCAGCTCTGCCATCACCATTTCTGCCCTGCCTTGACCACATAAAGCCACCTGGTAAGAGGTTCCTTACTCACGGAGGCTGAGCAGTTTATACCATCCCTCCAAACCGAAAATACACTGCACTTGTGATTCTCAAGTAAATTGTCAACCCAGCTGGGTTCCACATGATGAGATAGGTTCTCTCTGAGCTGTGTAACTGCTTGTGTGTCAGTCTTCAAACTGCAAAATTAAAGGATGTTTAAAGACTCCTCAAAGGCTGTGGTGTTTTGTCTGGGGTTTGTTTGGGGTTTTTTTAAGAACTGTCATTTTTGTGGTATTTAAAAGATTCCCTTTCAGATATGAATTCATATGGTGTCCTCCAGGGTTGCATTGGTGTGAAAGTGGTCTTCTGAATCACCTAGTCTAATCCCCAGCTACCACAGCCCAACTGGACAAGAAGCTTCTCAACCTCCATGTTAAAAGCAGAACCCAGTAGTTCTAGTTGTTAGGAATCTTCTTCTGGTTTCTATTCTCACTTTATTCATGAACCCAGTTTTTCTTATGTTGATATTGGCCATTACCTACAAGAGTTCCTTCCTTTCCTTCATGAATTAGCATGAGCGAGGGTGAAGAACACCATCATGGTAACAAGTACGAAGATTTGGGGTCTTTCTGGGCTAACACGTGAGATCTGCATTCACCTGCTCGAACATCGAGATGTGCTGCAGTGTAGATACAGGAAAGCAGCATGTCCAGACTTTGGAGGAAGGTAAAGAAGCTGCTTGGTGCATCTAAGACAGATTTCAGACCCTTTGAGGTACAGAAGTGATGGGTGAGGAGCTCTGAATTCAGACTGGGCTGCTGTGGCCTAATGTCAAACTATTTTTGATTCCTTTCGTCATTAATTGCTTAATAATCTGAGGCTCTGCCTCATCTTCACATGGCTGATCTCGAGCTTTGCAGTCCCCGTTTTCCGCCCACCAAGCAGCTGTGCTGGTGGCTGCCATGACAGATTGCCTGAAATCAAGAACATTTCAAACTTGGGAGTATGTTTTCAAAGCATATTATTTAAAAGACTCTTTGCACTGCACCTCACACTGTCCATCACACCACCACAAGACATAAATACAAAGCCCTTGCTGCTGTCTGTGCAGTGGCCTGAGGTACAAGGCGGCGTTTGCTGGATTGCAGGGCACAAAAACACCGTGGCACGATGACCGTGGAGAGAAGAGAGGCAGTGACGTACAGGGACTTACAAGAAGCTGTTGGAAAGAAAAGGTTTTGCAATTGAGGTAATTACAGCATATAATGAGCTTGTGTCTCTCTCCTCAAGTGTTCAGGCTCTCAGTCCTCTCCAAACCTTCACAAGGGAAGTTAATTTTCTTTCTGTGCGTTAGAGCGGTCACACAAAGGGCACAAAGGGAGTGAGGGTTGCCAGAGGGCACAGGGAAAGGCATGAGCATGTGGGAATCCAGACCCTGAGCCCCTTATTTCAGCCACCCATTGACATACGCTGCACAAGCTTTCTTCCTCCATCACAAGAAGATGCTGCCAGAAAGAATCCTTAACAAATCCTTACTAAATATTTTTTCCCAGAAAGGCAGCTTTTGAATATACCATGTTTTCTTGCCAACAGGTGCTTCAGAAGCATAGCATAGACAATGAAGATTATGATTTGGAAGCACAGAAGTCTCTAGGTAGCTCACGTTTAAGCAACGCACCTAGTTTTGTGTGCGCGTGTGTCATTTTTAGATCACCCACTCTCCCTGCTGCTTTCCAAGAGAGAGCACTAAATAATCAGCGGGTCCATCCTCTGCACAGTGCAGTTACGCTTTGCTAAACCGTCTCCCAGTAAGTTTCCCGCTGCACGCGTGTTCCCAGATAGCGCTAAGAGCACGGCAGCAACCCACTTGCTACAAAGCACCTGGACGATGGGAGAGATGAGGAGGCTGTTTTGGCACCAAGCCTGCCTGGAAATAGAGAGTCCCCTTGCAAGGGGTCTGGCTTGTGTGTTGGTGTTTGTTGCAAATCTTTTCTCGCTAATAGGGGATCGAGTGGGTGGGGGAGAGATCTTTTGGGAACATCTTTTGTTCATTAAGCTGTTATTGTGGGTAGAGTCAAGCTGTTAATGTTTCATAGCAAATAACTATTCAGACAACACATTGGCTTATCTGCTCACAATGTCCACGCTCTCATAAGCACCCATCTGGAGCCACGATTGGAGGCCAGCCTCGAAGGTGGAAGAAGAGGGTTGTACTGAGACACCGGTGGCTTCTAAGTAGGTGTTTGGAAAGTCCCTCAAGAGCACGTTGTCTGTTTAACCCTGTACTCTTCATACAGCAGCCACCACGCTCTTGGGAATGGTCCGAGTCACACAGCCCCTTGATGCTCGTGTGTGCTCACAGTCTTGTGCAGATTCATCGGGCTCTGCCTGTCCTGCGTTTATCAGTTCTCACCGATTCAACAGACACACAGGTCTCCTGAGAGTACCAGCCCATGGGAAACTTGCTGAAACTACCTCAGCAGCATTTACTTTTCCTTTCTTCAGTGTGTTGGTCTCTGGGAACAAGTTCTCCATCCCAACCTGTGCAACCCAGTCACACGGATGGGGCGTTTGGAACATACTCACAGTGGAAGATGGTTTCCCAAAGGAAACAAACCACATGAGGGTGCTGCAAACTGTGCAAAGACCCTGAAACACCCTTTATCTTAGATCTGACTTACCCCGCTTCTGCCCTGGAGGGACCCAGTCCTCAGTCTGGTGCCTTCTTACAGGACCACAGATAACTTCTCCAGTTCTGTTCTCTGCACAAGTTCTTGCCTACAGCGGTTTTGCAGTCCTGACATGACCCTGCAGGGCACAATGGTTTATGGACAAGGGCTAGAGAATTTGTTCTGTAATGTTACAGGAAATGCTGTCAGCTCCGCCAGCGCTTAGAGAGTAATTGTTGTATGGATGTGGCCCTTCGGTGCTTAAAGAGACAAGGAAATACTCCTTCAGACTGCAAAACGAAATATTTTCATGGGGGCTGTAAAAGTTCATGAGGGTTTCACAATTTCCTCTTTACAGCCTCGTAATCTTTACTGGGTTTTAATTATCACACTGTTTTGAAGCCTGTGCCAGACACAATAGCAGAAGTGGAAAGTAAAGCAAATTGCTCCGGTTCTTTTCACAGTTGCGTATCAGTCACCAGCTTATCCTCTCCCAGGTGCCTCCTCCCTCTTGACATCCTCTTGATTAAGGATGATATAAACCTGCCTGTCTGACAGATATACATACAAATATATGTATATACACACATGTGAATAGATAGACAGACAGACAGACAGACTTCCCCAGGGATATCATGGTGTGGGTCCCCCCAACCTCATAATCTGCCATACATGTGATGAGCCCGGCTGGAAAGGTTTGCTGAGAGAGTCGTTCTACTGAGACTTTCTTTTTGCCTTTTATTGGCTGCGTTTTTATTTTATTAGCATGAGTCATAATTGCAAATTTCTTTTTGAATGTGGTAGATAGCAATAAAGGGGAGGGCACTCAGGGAACGGAGGAGAGCTGCCAAGAGGAAATGAGCATTACAGTAATGTTGATTCTACTGCTCTTAGACAAGTGGGGAGCTTTTTTGGGGGGAAAGAGAGTAATTTTACTAAGCTGAGACATGGAGAAGTCACACAAATGGCCAGTTGTGCACTGATGCTTACTCCTGGGGATTAATTCCACAGTGGAAGCATACTATGATACACAAGCCCCGTCTATCACTGCAGACCTTCGCCACAAATCTGACTGTGCTCTAATTTCAGGAATTTATTACCCAAGGATTCATCCTACCACACTTTATAAATACCCAGTGACCCACATCAATTATATCACGGTAGCGACTTGAGCCTCGGGCAAGGCTGGATGTCCACCACTGTGTATGTGCGTAGCGGGGGATGTTCTGCCCTGAAGAGTTTGCACTCCAAACAGGCGTGACGGATGATAAACTCGAAAGGAAGCTGAGATGCAGGGAAGTCAAATGTTGCTCTCCAGGCCACGGTCCCTGGTGTACTAGCCCTGCTCTCTCATTACTGGGCAAAGCCGTCTTGTCAATCTGAGCTGGAGCTGCCTGTGCCCTGCAGTTCATGCAGCTTTTTGCATCGAATAGGGAGCGTGCTCAGAAATACGGTATTTTATTTTATTTTCTGTTCCTTCCTTTGCTGATTGGATCTAACAACTAAGCCAAGACAAAAGAGAAAATTAGGTGGCTGCGGCCAGCATATAATCATTAAATTTGCTTTTGGATGACCCGTGTGAAATTCATCGGGAGCGATTTATTGGGAAGTTCATCACATCAGTGTTCATTATTTACTCTGTTAGGCTTAGGCACAGTGGCAATCAGTGGAGAAAATTGGACTTTTAGGGCCTTGGACTTCAGTGTTTGTAATTTCCTCTACCAAGCTGCAGCATGAAATATATTTGGCACAGACAAATCACTCCGCTGCTACAGCTCAGTATGCTCATCCGGTGGCACCCAGCGATCACTGTGGCTCTGACAACCGGCGAGGTGAAAGCAGGTCTGGGCAAAAGAAAAAAGAAATAGAAAGCATCCTGAATCCCAACCCTGGTGCTGAGCACTTCCACAGGCCTGGAAGTCACCATTAAGTCACCATTACGGTGACTTAAATGAATATTACGGTTATTTTTCATGCCTCTGCCACCCAGCCAAGGCAAAGCTACTGTTCTCGCTCCTGGTGAAGTCGTTTCTCCGTCGCTGGACTCTGACAAGCACAAGCAGGCTAGACCTGAGCGATACAGGGACTAAAATCCAGGGAATCCACAAGAGAGAGACTGACGGAGAACCGGTGATATTTGTACTGCAGATTGCATTTTCCTGGTCATAAAGGGGAAGACGCAAGAAGAACCAGCCTGGAGGTGAACTACCTCTCCGCAGGTCTCTCCTTCCCGCGGTAGCTGTACTGTTTGCTGGCCCCCAGCCCTGTTAAAGACACCGTGCAACGACAAGGAGCAACACACGACATTGCGGTGGCTTCGTGATTCTGAATAGGGCCAACTCCATCAGCTCTGTACCAACCAAACATCAGCTCTCATGGTACCTACAGTGCTTCTCCAGCAAGATTGGCTGTCAGAGTCTTTGTCCTAAGGCAAAGAGACAGTCTTCAAGGCATCTCTGGTCCCCCACGGTGCCTTTTTTGTCTCCTAGCTCGTGGCGCATCCCACCACTAGCAGCAAGGGACCAGAGGAGAGCAGAATTTCTGGGGTATGAGGGGTTGGGTG